GCGTATGTGCATTTCTAGATGCATTGACGATGTGGGCGAGCCAAACCCGATTTAGCAGCAGAATGTGTGCTACTTATAGAGCAAGAGGAATGTGCAGAAGCTTCAGACTCGCCTTATCCATACCTCTCACTGTAAATATATTAGAAAATGTTTTTCACTACCACCACCGTCTGTGTAGCCTTTTCTAGTACCCGGATGAGTTAGCATCATGCCTAGTGTATCCGCATTATTATAGGGCATGAAATATAGCGATATACAAGTGTCTCCTCGCCAGATAAGTCACACTTGTCTAGTACTAAGAAATTCGGCAGCTACGAGAAATGCCCCTAAAATAGGAGAAACTGCCATCACTCACGTTCTCGCAAGCGCATCTTTGTGTCCATGCCTGGCAAGAGAGTAAACGTTGGAGACAGTCCAGCAGACACTGCAAGAAAGACCACTTGTTAGAAATAGTGCTTTTCTGAAGAGCCCACGAGGACTTTCGTACAAGTAATTAACACAGTGAATTACGAAAATACACTTCATGTAACCAAATGTGCTATTAGTAAATGGTGCAGTATTTCCATCTGCGTATACAAATCAAATAAAGCTCTATTTAGGTGTAGAAAAAGGCAATACTCAATGCAGTAGGTAAATAATTAGGGTCAGCGAGTATGTAGCAAAAGGTAAAGTACCAACGCAAGCAGAGTAACGATGCAAGCACGACTGATTAAGGGGGGTGGGGGGTGCTTTCCCTTTTCTGAGTGTAACTATCCACTTCTTTCCCATCGGGTACTTGGAATAGTAGTGAAAGTTAACGTCCTTTTTACGGGTGCGTGATCATATAGAGGCACAGAGCAGTACTTCACCATTGCGCAGCACTTGCCGCGGAGACAAGCGGCCGCAGTTTTAAGAATCAAAATGCTATGCTTTTAAAATGAGCGTTAAAAGCAGACACCCAAGGTTATTATGAAAGCATCAATAGCCACCACACACAATATAACCAAGACACCCATGGTTATTATGAAAGCGTCAATAACCACCACACACAATTTAACCAATTGAACTACTACTTTGTTGAGTTTTACCACGACTGTGGTTCCTACACTGCGCCGCGCCTCAAAAGTGCACAAAACCTCGAAGTGACATCATACAAGCCCGATTCGCAGCTCCGCCATAGATCGCACACCAGGCCAATAGTCCTCGCAGTCCTCCTGCACCAAGCTCATAACGTCACTAGCAGAGGCATTTTCCCCAATTTTGCTTATGACAACCCCTTCAAAAGCAGCAAGCCCAATATGTTCTTGCTACCTTGTTTCGGGTGTCACCTGATTGTTATCTACAATGCAAAAAGTTTGGTTTTGCCATGGTCCTTTTTCCAGACACCGCATCGTATCATGCCTGTGACGATGACATTTCTAAAAATGTTTGAACTTTGGATCGGCAGCTGACAGCTGTGTGGCCCATTCTGTTGCACACGGTGCATTTTGCAATAACAGGTTGCATATCACCGAGAAAGCTTTGCTTCTCAGTACCGGGCACTTTCGCATGCTTATGAAAATAGAAGAAGTTTTAAAGACGATAGCCTTTCTTGGGGGCTTTCGACCCAAAAATTTTGGTCTGTCTGTGTCTGTACATTTGTCTGTTTGTCCACTCTTAACGGCACCGGTACTTGAAACAGCCGACTCCATCCACAGCGCCCACCAATGCTGCTCAAGGTTTAGCGTTTATACTTGTGCAATTGTCAATTAATAAGCAACTATTGTGCAAGTTTGGGGCACCATAACACGTATATATTCTGCATGTACATCCTTTACTGGCATGTACATCTTTTACTAGAAAAGGCATACATAAGCAATTTTTAGAACCGTAGCACTTATCACGCAGCGCTGACCATGCAACGCTTGCACGGAACGGGGAGTTTCTAACGCTTTGCTAAGACGCGATGGTGGTGGCACCAACCCGTTGCCTTGCGTTCTAAACCTTATCACCTCTGCGACGGGCGCACACACCCGTCTCGGAGTCACGCGCTTTTTTTTTAAGAACGCTGCCAGGTGGCGCTCATGTCTCACATGTGACTTGACTTGATGCACTCGATCGCCTCCGCTGCACGCTCCAGGCACTCTAACGCAGTGCCTCCAGAATACCATCCACCGATTTTTTTACGGAGAACATAAAATAAATTGTTCACTCTCTCCACACGCAAGACTATAGTCTTTCGACCACATTTGCAGATTACATGCATATACGGGGCCAAGTTTTTCTGGTGCTGAACGTCTATAAATTCATCAGCTGCTTAGGTAGAGGTACCCAAGGTGGAGCATTTCCCTTTGCGGAAGCAAGTGACCAACTTCTTATACAATTGGACAAAAAATGCTCCTTGACGATCAACTAAACTAGACTATCGAAAGTACGGGGTCTCCGAGAGATCAATCCACCTATCAAAATGTCCTTTAATTCTAGCTACAAACTGTGTAGCTGTCTCTCCGTTCTATGGTTTTGACGCTCGGAAACGCTCACGATACTCTTCTGCCATGAGACGAAAATGCCGCAGAGGAGCTATCTTTACATGAGTATAATCTAGGCAGTAGTCAGAAGACAGTCTTCCATACACTTTCAGAGCTTCTCCTGTGAGGCACATGCTCAAGGCGATTGCCCATTGTAATTTGTCCCAGCCTCGGCTTGTCCTCACGCATTCGAACCTCTTGAGGTACGCGTCAAAGTCGTCTCGGGCAATCTCAAACTGCAGGAGAAATTTTCGAAGATTTATGGAAGGGTAGCGCACTGCTTGTACTTCAGGTCATTCTCCCGGTGGCGTTCGGTACGCTGGTGCTGCATCTAGCTCGGCAAGCCTTATGCGTAGCGGAAGGCTGCGTTCCTCTGCTTTGGCTAGAGCTTGCTCCGAGGCCACACGTTTGCCGGTATTTTTTCTCGCTCAACAGCCATCAGGTCGTGTTCTTTCGCCGCTTCATGCTGAGCCGCTCTATCATCTCGCTGACGATTTTCCTGCAGTCTCCTCCACCCTCTCAACTCTGCCTCTGACAAGCTCACTCGCTCCCCAGTTCCCTTAATTTCTGCATTTCCATAGCATCTACAATGTGTCTGTGCCACAGAGAACAAGTTCGTCCTGTCCCCTGGATGCCAAAATGTCACGGTGTATTAGCTTCACCGTACGAGGTTCAAGAAATAAGGACAAAGCGGGCGTTTTAAGTAGCACCCACACATCCAAACATTTAATCTATAGAAGATCAACTCTGCTGAGAGTCAAACGGTGAGTCGTGAACGGTTGTCGTCGGGACCCCTCGTGACGACTCACGTACAGGTGAACTCTGGGGCGGCCCGTGGACTTCTTGATAATTCAGAGCCACAAACTCTGAGGCACTAGGCGTCGGCAGGAACAGGGATTTGTTCTTCGCATCGCTGCCTCTTCCACCGAACGCTACGGTAATTGCTCGAATCTAACGCGCACCTTTTTTCCGGTTAAGCGAGTTCTTAAGTCGCATGCACGTTAGAATCGAGTACAAACAAAAAAATTGCGGTCAATCTATTGCCATCGGCAAATCCAAAATGGCCGCCCCCTACGTGCGTCGGCATGGCGCGTCGGCCATTTCTGCCTACGTGTTTCCCATGTGCGGCACTTCGTACGTGTGCTGAGGAGCTCGTCATCTAGTACTGCATTAGCATCGACGGCGTGGAAGGGCCAACTCTAAAAACTCGAGCGCACCACGATGCCGCTTTTAAAAGAAAAGTCATCGCGTGTGCAGAAACGGACGAAAATCGGGCCGCATCGCGGTCGCTCGGAGTTCCCGAAACGTGCATGCGGGACCGGCGGAAACAAAAGCAGAAGATTGTCGACAGCAAAGCTTCACGCAAAGGCTTCAGTGGACCACAGCAGGGTCGGTTTCGGCAAATAAAGAGCTGCTCGGCGAGTATGTGCTTGAGCAGCGAGCGGCACAGCGGCCCGTGACGACAGAACTGCTCCAAGTGCGGGCTATGCAATTAGTCTTAGAAAAAGGTCTAATGCGGAGCCAGTTTAAAGCGAGCAGGTGCTGGCTAACAAACTTTATGAAGAGGAAAGGCTTTTCCCTCCGAAGGGGAACATGCATATGCGAAAAGTTTTGTGGTGGAGTACGATGAAAAGCTTCACAGTTTTCAGAGGTTCGTTCTAAACTTGCGGCGCAACAACGGCTACCTGCTTGGGCAAATCGGGAATGCCGATCAGACGCCTCTTTACTTCGACATGCCCGGCACCACAACTGTCAAGAAGAATGGGGCGAAGCAAGTTCGCGTGCTGACATCGGTCCACGGTAAAACTGCAGGGACGGCAATGCTCTGTTACACGTCAGATGAGCACAAGCTTCGCCCGTACCTCATATTTAAATCGAAGACGCTCCCGAAAGGAGTCGTTTTTTGAGTGGTGTGATCGTGCGGGCCAGCGAGAAAAATGGGTGCGCGTTGAAATCGATGTCCTATGTTTTTTTGTTGTTTTTTTTTTCGTGGTGGAAATCGGGTGCGCGTTACAATCGAGGGCGCGGTAGAATCGAGTAAATACGGTACTTGCACCATGCGCTGCCCTTCCACTCCTGCCTTTTTATTCTCGGTGCTCCTGCCACGAGAGTTTTCCGCGTCTTTCATGTTTTTCTTTTCTTTTTGTAGTCTGTGTCACAGTGACTCAACAGCATTGTCGTCTATGTCGCTATCACTTCGCCGAAGTCTTGACAAACTCAAAACATGATACATCTACTGGGCACAGTCTTTGCAAATCAAGCAATATTGAATGCATACATCATCGACTAGGTTTTTTAATAGTGCGCTAAACCTTCCTCAAAACTCCCCATAGCCATCGTACGCTTTGGCGGCAAAAAGGGCGAGGCACATCCTGTATGTAAGACAGCTAACGACTCCAATGACGGTTTGAGTGCGAGATTCAAGCTCCTTTGGTCACTAGCCTTCAGGCCGTACTAAGAAATTCGGCAGCTACGAGAAATGCCCCTAAAATAGGAGAAACTGCCATCACTCACGTTCTCGCAAGCGCATCTTTGTGTCCATGCCTGGCAAGAGAGTAAACGTTGGAGACAGTCCAGCAGACACTGCAAGAAAGACCACTTGTTAGAAATAGTGCTTTTCTGAAGAGCCCACGAGGACTTTCGTACAAGTAATTAACACAGTGAATTACGAAAATACACTTCATGTAACCAAATGTGCTATTAGTAAATGGTGCAGTATTTCCATCTGCGTATACAAATCAAATAAAGCTCTATTTAGGTGTAGAAAAAGGCAATACTCAATGCAGTAGGTAAATAATTAGGGTCAGCGAGTATGTAGCAAAAGGTAAAGTACCAACGCAAGCAGAGTAACGATGCAAGCACGACTGATTAAGGGGGGTGGGGGGTGCTTTCCCTTTTCTGAGTGTAACTATCCACTTCTTTCCCATCGGGTACTTGGAATAGTAGTGAAAGTTAACGTCCTTTTTACGGGTGCGTGATCATATAGAGGCACAGAGCAGTACTTCACCATTGCGCAGCACTTGCCGCGGAGACAAGCGGCCGCAGTTTTAAGAATCAAAATGCTATGCTTTTAAAATGAGCGTTAAAAGCAGACACCCAAGGTTATTATGAAAGCATCAATAGCCACCACACACAATATAACCAAGACACCCATGGTTATTATGAAAGCGTCAATAACCACCACACACAATTTAACCAATTGAACTACTACTTTGTTGAGTTTTACCACGACTGTGGTTCCTACACTGCGCCGCGCCTCAAAAGTGCACAAAACCTCGAAGTGACATCATACAAGCCCGATTCGCAGCTCCGCCATAGATCGCACACCAGGCCAATAGTCCTCGCAGTCCTCCTGCACCAAGCTCATAACGTCACTAGCAGAGGCATTTTCCCCAATTTTGCTTATGACAACCCCTTCAAAAGCAGCAAGCCCAATATGTTCTTGCTACCTTGTTTCGGGTGTCACCTGATTGTTATCTACAATGCAAAAAGTTTGGTTTTGCCATGGTCCTTTTTCCAGACACCGCATCGTATCATGCCTGTGACGATGACATTTCTAAAAATGTTTGAACTTTGGATCGGCAGCTGACAGCTGTGTGGCCCATTCTGTTGCACACGGTGCATTTTGCAATAACAGGTTGCATATCACCGAGAAAGCTTTGCTTCTCAGTACCGGGCACTTTCGCATGCTTATGAAAATAGAAGAAGTTTTAAAGACGATAGCCTTTCTTGGGGGCTTTCGACCCAAAAATTTTGGTCTGTCTGTGTCTGTACATTTGTCTGTTTGTCCACTCTTAACGGCACCGGTACTTGAAACAGCCGACTCCATCCACAGCGCCCACCAATGCTGCTCAAGGTTTAGCGTTTATACTTGTGCAATTGTCAATTAATAAGCAACTATTGTGCAAGTTTGGGGCACCATAACACGTATATATTCTGCATGTACATCCTTTACTGGCATGTACATCTTTTACTAGAAAAGGCATACATAAGCAATTTTTAGAACCGTAGCACTTATCACGCAGCGCTGACCATGCAACGCTTGCACGGAACGGGGAGTTTCTAACGCTTTGCTAAGACGCGATGGTGGTGGCACCAACCCGTTGCCTTGCGTTCTAAACCTTATCACCTCTGCGACGGGCGCACACACCCGTCTCGGAGTCACGCGCTTTTTTTTTAAGAACGCTGCCAGGTGGCGCTCATGTCTCACATGTGACTTGACTTGATGCACTCGATCGCCTCCGCTGCACGCTCCAGGCACTCTAACGCAGTGCCTCCAGAATACCATCCACCGATTTTTTTACGGAGAACATAAAATAAATTGTTCACTCTCTCCACACGCAAGACTATAGTCTTTCGACCACATTTGCAGATTACATGCATATACGGGGCCAAGTTTTTCTGGTGCTGAACGTCTATAAATTCATCAGCTGCTTAGGTAGAGGTACCCAAGGTGGAGCATTTCCCTTTGCGGAAGCAAGTGACCAACTTCTTATACAATTGGACAAAAAATGCTCCTTGACGATCAACTAAACTAGACTATCGAAAGTACGGGGTCTCCGAGAGATCAATCCACCTATCAAAATGTCCTTTAATTCTAGCTACAAACTGTGTAGCTGTCTCTCCGTTCTATGGTTTTGACGCTCGGAAACGCTCACGATACTCTTCTGCCATGAGACGAAAATGCCGCAGAGGAGCTATCTTTACATGAGTATAATCTAGGCAGTAGTCAGAAGACAGTCTTCCATACACTTTCAGAGCTTCTCCTGTGAGGCACATGCTCAAGGCGATTGCCCATTGTAATTTGTCCCAGCCTCGGCTTGTCCTCACGCATTCGAACCTCTTGAGGTACGCGTCAAAGTCGTCTCGGGCAATCTCAAACTGCAGGAGAAATTTTCGAAGATTTATGGAAGGGTAGCGCACTGCTTGTACTTCAGGTCATTCTCCCGGTGGCGTTCGGTACGCTGGTGCTGCATCTAGCTCGGCAAGCCTTATGCGTAGCGGAAGGCTGCGTTCCTCTGCTTTGGCTAGAGCTTGCTCCGAGGCCACACGTTTGCCGGTATTTTTTCTCGCTCAACAGCCATCAGGTCGTGTTCTTTCGCCGCTTCATGCTGAGCCGCTCTATCATCTCGCTGACGATTTTCCTGCAGTCTCCTCCACCCTCTCAACTCTGCCTCTGACAAGCTCACTCGCTCCCCAGTTCCCTTAATTTCTGCATTTCCATAGCATCTACAATGTGTCTGTGCCACAGAGAACAAGTTCGTCCTGTCCCCTGGATGCCAAAATGTCACGGTGTATTAGCTTCACCGTACGAGGTTCAAGAAATAAGGACAAAGCGGGCGTTTTAAGTAGCACCCACACATCCAAACATTTAATCTATAGAAGATCAACTCTGCTGAGAGTCAAACGGTGAGTCGTGAACGGTTGTCGTCGGGACCCCTCGTGACGACTCACGTACAGGTGAACTCTGGGGCGGCCCGTGGACTTCTTGATAATTCAGAGCCACAAACTCTGAGGCACTAGGCGTCGGCAGGAACAGGGATTTGTTCTTCGCATCGCTGCCTCTTCCACCGAACGCTACGGTAATTGCTCGAATCTAACGCGCACCTTTTTTCCGGTTAAGCGAGTTCTTAAGTCGCATGCACGTTAGAATCGAGTACAAACAAAAAAATTGCGGTCAATCTATTGCCATCGGCAAATCCAAAATGGCCGCCCCCTACGTGCGTCGGCATGGCGCGTCGGCCATTTCTGCCTACGTGTTTCCCATGTGCGGCACTTCGTACGTGTGCTGAGGAGCTCGTCATCTAGTACTGCATTAGCATCGACGGCGTGGAAGGGCCAACTCTAAAAACTCGAGCGCACCACGATGCCGCTTTTAAAAGAAAAGTCATCGCGTGTGCAGAAACGGACGAAAATCGGGCCGCATCGCGGTCGCTCGGAGTTCCCGAAACGTGCATGCGGGACCGGCGGAAACAAAAGCAGAAGATTGTCGACAGCAAAGCTTCACGCAAAGGCTTCAGTGGACCACAGCAGGGTCGGTTTCGGCAAATAAAGAGCTGCTCGGCGAGTATGTGCTTGAGCAGCGAGCGGCACAGCGGCCCGTGACGACAGAACTGCTCCAAGTGCGGGCTATGCAATTAGTCTTAGAAAAAGGTCTAATGCGGAGCCAGTTTAAAGCGAGCAGGTGCTGGCTAACAAACTTTATGAAGAGGAAAGGCTTTTCCCTCCGAAGGGGAACATGCATATGCGAAAAGTTTTGTGGTGGAGTACGATGAAAAGCTTCACAGTTTTCAGAGGTTCGTTCTAAACTTGCGGCGCAACAACGGCTACCTGCTTGGGCAAATCGGGAATGCCGATCAGACGCCTCTTTACTTCGACATGCCCGGCACCACAACTGTCAAGAAGAATGGGGCGAAGCAAGTTCGCGTGCTGACATCGGTCCACGGTAAAACTGCAGGGACGGCAATGCTCTGTTACACGTCAGATGAGCACAAGCTTCGCCCGTACCTCATATTTAAATCGAAGACGCTCCCGAAAGGAGTCGTTTTTTTGAGTGGTGTGATCGTGCGGGCCAGCGAGAAAAATGGGTGCGCGTTGAAATCGATGTCCTATGTTTTTTTGTTGTTTTTTTTTCGTGGTGGAAATCGGGTGCGCGTTACAATCGAGGGCGCGGTAGAATCGAGTAAATACGGTACTTGCACCATGCGCTGCCCTTCCACTCCTGCCTTTTTATTCTCGGTGCTCCTGCCACGAGAGTTTTCCGCGTCTTTCATGTTTTTCTTTTCTTTTTGTAGTCTGTGTCACAGTGACTCAACAGCATTGTCGTCTATGTCGCTATCACTTCGCCGAAGTCTTTACACTCAAAACATGATACATCTACTGTGTCACAGTCTTTGCAAATCAGCAGATTGAATGCATCATCGACGATGTTTTTTAATATGTGCGCTACCTTCTCAAACTCCCCCATGCCATCGTACGCTTTGCGGCAAAGGGCGAGCACATCCTGTATGTAAGACAGCTACGACTCCAATGACGTTTGAGTGCGAGATTCAAGCTCCTTTTTGGTCACTGCCTTCATGCCAGTAGATTTGCCAAACAGTGCATGCATCTTTTTTTTTTGCACGCTTTCCAGCTGCCAATTAACGCTTCGTGATTCTCAAACCACACTTTGGCTGTTCTCTTCAGATAGAATGATATGTTCACCAACATGAGTGTTTCGTCCCAACGATAATTCTTGCTTGTTTTGTTTGCTCATACACCGGCAACCATTCTTGAATGTCGACATTGTAGGTCCCGCAGAACACGCCAGGGTTTTTGAGCTGGGGCAGAGCAACTATCGTCGTTGCCATTGCAGCTGTGGAAGCGGGACTCTGTTGTGCCATCATTGAATAAACTAAGCTTCGGCCGCTGTGTAGCTTCGTTATACTGTCTTCGTACCCAGCACCTCCACCAGTACGCCTTTCGCTATTCGAGACGACCTACTCTATCGGCGAAATTACACTTCTGGAAGGTAGGAAGTGGCGTAGTGATACCAAGCCACATGCGCTCGGAGATCTGTACTGCTTTTCACAACGACCCGCAAA